TGCTGAGTGAGCTGAACTGATGACCCAGCAATCAACACACACCGTATTCACCATATGACTCAAAGGTCAAATGGCGGCTACAGTGTGCCCCGGCATGAGGTATACATCAGCACTCCCTTAAGGCCATAAATTGGGTGTACAAGAGTCAGTCATTTATGTAGATTCCAATTTCAACACCTTGTAGGATGTGATATTGTGAAATATACATCTGGTCTTCATCCCAGTTTCCTGGTATACAACTACTAAAATTCTTGGAATCTCCAAAGTGGTAGCATCTTTTGTATGCTAATGAGATAACTGGTGGTTGGGGGACCCTAGGTAGCTTTAAGATGGTGACTGGTCACCAGCTTTAGGAGAGGTTGGTCATTGGAAAGACCAAGGCAGAATTAGAGGGCTGAGACTTTCAGTTTCCCCCCTCTATCTCTGAGAAGGGGAGAGGGCTAAAGGTTAAATTGGTCACCAATGATCAATGATTTAATCAACCATACCTATTTAATGAAGTCTCCATAAAAACCTCCTGAGCAGCTGGGATTACAGATGTGCACTGCCATGCCTGACCTATTAGCTGAACACATGCAGTTCCCTGGAGGGTGGTGTGTCCTGGGAGGGCATGGATGCCCCTCCTCCACTCCTTGCCCTTCCACCTGGCTGTTCACCTGTATTCTTTGTCATATTCTTTATAACAAATGGATAAATGTAAGAATTTTCTGAGTTCTGTGAACCACTATAGCAAAATTAATTGAACTCAAGGAGGGGGTCATGGGAACCTTGATTTATAGACAGTCCGAGCACAAATAAAACAACCTGGGGCCGGGCTCGGTGGCTCAGCCTGTAATCCTGCGCCTTTGGGAGGCTGAGGTGAGTGAATTGCCTGAGCCCGCGGGTTCGAGACCCACCTGGGCAGCGAGACCTCATCTCTACAGTAAATCAAAAAATCAGCCGGGCATGGTAGTGCATGCCTGTAATTCCGTCTAATTGGAAGGCTGAGGCGGAAGGATCGCCGGAGCCCAGCTGGTTGAGGCTGCGGTGGCCGGGAGCGGCCACTGCACTCCAGTCTGGGTGACAGAGTGAGATTCCAACTCAAAAAAAAACAAAAAACAAAAAACAAACAAACAAAAAACAACCTGGGGCTTGCAGTTGACATCAGAAGTGGGGGTAGTCTTGAGGGATTGAGACCTTAACCTGTGAGATCTGGTGCTCTCTTCAGGTAGACAATGTTGGAATTCAATTAGAGGACACCCAGCTGGTGTCTGCTGCAGAATTGATTGCTAGTTTGTTGGTGGGAGAAACCCCCATACTTTGCCATAGTCTTGTTGCTCAGTGCGGTGTAAGTACAGAGCAAAAATACAGTTTGACTTTGGGTTTCTCTACTTACAGATTTGAAAATTTGGTTTTATTATTTTTGCTTCTCTTCCTCAAAGCCTCTCCCTTCCCATGGCCCCCCAAGAAGTCTGAATGTCCTATACTAGATCTTGGCTGATGTGTACAAGACTGGGCATATCTAAAATCATGGGGTCCAGCACCTTACAGGAGTAGAAACCCACCCCAGTGCCCCTCAGTGCATGAGCTGCACATTACAAAGTCAAGGGCCTTCAGGTTCATAAAAACAGAACCACAAACACATGGACATCACACAGGAGCTGATACTTATAAATCATCACGTGTATCCCAAAACACTGAGTTAATGTCTGATGCCTGGAGGGGGATGGGGCATAACTTTTCTCTGTCATCCTACATGTTTCTAGAGAGAAATTCACTGTGATTTGAAATGTGCATGCTAAGTAAGACGCAGTCAAAGGAAGTGTACTTGTGATGCAACCCACAAACAAATAGCAGAAATTGGAGATAGCTAGCCAAATCTCCTGGAGGCAGTTTGTAGGATGAGATGACATAAGAGAGTTCAGGGAAAGGAGGTTCCTGGAAAGGGTCACATTCCATAAGATTAGCTCTTCCAGCTCAGTGTATGTTCACTATAAATATGCAATTATAAAGGAGGAATTTTTTTTAAGTAAGTAACAAAACTAAGAAGAATAGAAAGAAGGTAAAAATCAAAAACAAACTAGGAAATGACAAGCATGGAGCTACTGGGACTCAGAAATTGACACCCAGAATGTAGGCCTCAGCAGCAGCCTCGGGAATACGGTCTCTCCCTGTATATCGCCCCTCATTTTTCCCCGAAGCAGCCATAGAAATCAGAGCCCCTTTCCCCAAAGCCATCCTGAAAAACCTTATTACTTTAACTTTTCCCCACTATTTTGTGTGAGAACTGGCTATAAATAAATTCTCTAATCTACCTTATTTGATTATGGGTCATAAGACTACCCCACGCCAAAGAAGGAAGTTGCTGCTTCAGAGAGGCCAGGAAGAATCTGAACAAGCTGGGCGTGGTATCTCACATTTGTAATCCCAGCACTTTGGGAGACTGAGGCAAGAGCATTGCCTGAGCCCAGGGTTCAAGACAAACCTGGGTAATTTAGTAAGACCTCATCTCTACAATAAATAAAAAAAATTAGCGTGGTGCCACGCACCTGTAGTTCTAGCTACTTGGAAGACTGAGGCAGCCGCACTGGTTTGTCACTGCACTCCAGCCTAGGCAACAGTAAGACTCTGGCTCAAAACAAAAAAGAATCTGAACAGACAGAACTTGCTAGATTTACCTCTTATGTTTTTTGTTCAATTACATTTCTACCTGGCTATCTTTGCTTCATTGAACCTAAGCATAAAATTGGATAGCCTCCCCAGTATCTATAGGCATTCATCCTAAAGGCTCCTGTGTCACATTAAACTATGAATAAATATTATGCTTTTCTCTTGCTAGATTGTCTTTTGTTATAGGAGTGTCAGCCATGACCCTTATGATAGGTGAGAAAAGGTTACTCCCCTGCAGAACTCACTTAAATTTTGCTACAAATTGCTAAAAATAACATAGGCTCTTTTAACCACCTTTAGTCTACTTTGGTCATTTCCTCAAATAGCAAAGTCAGCCCTAATGTTCAATCTGACAGTTAGATGCTGATTTCAGCATGTCATAGGCAATAGGACCTTTCAGCTACACAGAGAAGGGCCCTGACACCCAGCACCTATGTGGTGTGTTCACCAAGACTGCTTAAAACCCAAAGGGAGCCGGGCTCAGTGGCTCAGCCTGTAATCCCATGCCTTGGGAGGCTGAGGTGAGTGGATTGCCTGAGTTCGAGACCCGCCTGGGCAACTTGGCGAGACCTCATCTCTGCAATAAATCAAAAAATCAGCCGGGTGTGGTAGCGTGCGCCTGTAGTTCCAGCTACTTGGAAGGCTGAGGCGGAAGGATCGCCGGAGCCCAGCAGGTCGAGGCTGCGGTGGCCGGGAGCGGCCACTGCACTCCAGTCTGGGAGACAGAGTGAGACTCCAACTCAAAAAAGATAAAAAACAAAAAACAAAAACCCAAAGGGAAGATGCATAGGTGAGTAAACATATGCACCATATTCAAACAGGAGGGTATAGCCCTTCCAGACTAACCTATGAATGAGCTCAACTCTGATCAGTCACCCCATAGCTAGTCCTAGCATTCCTACCACAAACTTAAAGGGCCAAAATTAGTTAAGACAGCTAGGTGGGCATGGCATTGCATGCCTATAGTCCTAGCTACTCCAGAGGATTGCTTGAGCCCAGGAGTTTGTGGTCAGATTGGGCAACACAGCAAGACCCCAGAAAGGATAACTGATAAAGCAAGACCTCTAAAAAATAAAACTTTTAAAATAGCTAGAACTGCTATTTTTTAATGGGGGAAGAAAGGAAAGACCCTCCCTGAGGAGGTATCATAAGACCACAGCACAGTGAGCAGATATTTTCATGGAACTGGACTATTTCCCCCAGGAGACAGTATTTGACAGATAAGAGAGAAATACATTATATAAAGAGGTCCCTTTTTACATATTAAGATACTAAATAAAACAAAAAGAAAAATGATCTTTTGACACTATAAGTTCCTTCCCCTTCTAGAAATGGCCCAAACCATGCACTGAGGAAATCTAGAAAATGTGCATAAGAATTTCAGGCAACAGAGAGCTAATGCTTCCAGCAGTGATAAAGAACTACTGAGCCAAGCCGGGCTCAGTGGCTCAGCCTGTAATCCCGTGCCTTTGGGAGGCTGAGGTGAGTGGATTGCCTGAGCCCGTGGGTTCGAGACCTGCCTGGGCAGCGAGACCTCATCTCTACAATAAAT